CCCCCCCCCCCTAATTCTCGGGGGAGAGGTTAATTGGCATTGTTTGGAATGAGATCAGTTTGCTGACTAACGGTCTGATTTTAAAGGGTTTCTCCACCTTTATGACTGACTTGGTATTTGCACATCAGGGCTGATGGTGTTCATGACTTTATGACCTGTCGCTGGCACAGGCTCTTGAGGTATCCAGCAGGAAAGGTTGGGCAGGCTGTCGAGTATAAACTCTGTACATGGGGGGCGGGGGGGGATAGCAGCAGATTTTTATCCCGCAGCATTCCGGCTTCAGCTCTGTAGATACAGAGGCCGCCGTACTATGGTATCTGCAACCACGTGGTAAAAGGGGGAACGTTCCAATGGTGTAGTTTCAATACTATAGACTAGGGATACGCCACCTGTGGTGAAACTACAAATCTCTCCATGCCTCTGCCCCAATGGCAGTGCTTGTCAATCCAAAAAAAGCAGTGGGCGGGGACAAGGTGTGGCCAGATGCTGGTGGACAAGCTATAAGTTTGTAATTAAACATGGCGCCGGGGCAACATCATCTCATCACCTTGTAGAGTAAGCAGGCATCGGCAGAGCAGAGTTGTCACCCTACATGGTGACAACTCTGCTCTGAATTTAGGCACTGCAGGAGTGTTGTCCCCACCCCCTCTCGGAGACTTTGCAGGTAGAACCGTGAGTGCAGACAGATCGTTTAATCTGCTTTCTGTGGAAAGAGCAATATGCAGCATCTGTATAGATATCTAGAGCAAGTACATAGACCACCCTCCCCCCAGCCGGCTGATTCTCTGTAGAAGTCACAATTAAAGCCGATCATTTAAAGGAGAACTATGGGGTCAGGGCTTTTCCCCATAGTTCGCTTTAGGGTAACGGGAGGACATATACTAGCGTCCTCCCATCACCCTAAGCTCAGTATATAGCAGGCTATCGCCTGCGATACTGAGTTCCGCAACTGGGACAGATCCCAACCATACTGTCTGAATCCACCCAGCTGCATGAGTGACAGCCGGCTCTGCCCATCCCCTGTCCGTTCCTCCAGTCAGCGCTGGAGGATCAGAGAGGGGAGAGCGGGGAATCCCTGCAGGGAGCGGTGACTGACCTGCGCTCGCTGCAGGATAACGATCGGGAAGTGAGCGGCTCGGCTGCATGTTTCTGCTCACTTCCCGATCGATAGAGCCGAACCTGCGACAGCTTCCTTGTCACAGGTCGGCTCTGAGGACGAGTGGAAATCACACCCCTCATAGTTCTCCTTTAACAGAGGTCTTCCCATCCAGTACTCGAACTCACACATGGTCACACATTCCCACAGGCACCCTCCAGAATCTGGTGGAAAAATATTTCCAGATAAGTGGGAGGATGTTACACCTACAAAGAGGGGGAAACTCCATATTAGGGTGACGGGAAAGTAGGGGAATGGCTGTTTTTAGAATGGGGTGTCCATCAATCCTATAGTGCCAGGGCCAGTGCCCCTTCCATTGCAGTCATGATTAGCAAAACTACATCCCTTCTGATTGCGCGGCAATAGCTGACTCGCCGGGTACCAGGACCATCGCAGACCGGAGAGCCAAATGGGATAACACAGATTTTATATATATGTTACATGTTTCTCATTCCCATTGCATAACCTACATTGCTTCTTGCACAATACAGGTTCTATTCTGAAAGAAAAGTTGTTCTTTGTACTGAATTTTGCTCTGCAATGCAAGATGGGGGGGGGGGGATCATTTTAAATAGGGACTTTGAATGACAAACAAACACACCTTTTAGAAATGTTTAGCCATGACAATCTACAAACTTCTAGATAATTGCCGGCTTTTTAGTCTTTGCATACCTTTTCCTCCCCATTCTTCTCACGGTGGCCATTTTTTTTTACTAAGGGCAGATTAATATATCCCTCTTTACTTCCTGGAACTCTGACACATGTGACTAGGACATGCGACCATGCACATCATCTGAGGGGTGGAAAATGCCTTTCCATGAGATTACAGATTAGATTTCCCAGCAATGCTCTGCAGGATGCAACACTTGGGCACAGATTACATCACTAAATGCCCAAGAGGACCAGGAAGTTTAAAAAAAAAACAATAATTGTAAGTAAAATAAAAATATGTTTAATGATTGTGGATGATTTCATATCAGCATGCTTAGGTGAAAGGGGGGTAAAGGTTCGCTTTGACATGTGCGTGCGTGTTCTGTGCTGGCAGATCTCATTATTAGCTGTAAACTAGATGTGACCAGTCTGTGCTAACAAAGGGTTAAAGATCTAGAAGCATTGTATGGTAATGATGGTCAGTCTGTTCCTGGGCTTCCTATGGGGACCCCAGGGCTGCCATAGGAATATGGGCTACAGTTCAATGATCTGCACATCTGCTGTGGTGTGAAAATGGACAGAGACGTCGGGTGAGCTTCAATGCATAATGGAAAATACAACATGTCTGCACTTATCTGCTACTGACCTGAAGTGTGAGCACAGCACATAGTGTAAGGATCGGCTTTGATCGAGTGGAGAAAAATGCCAATCACAGCAAACCGCGTGCACGCGTCCTGACGATCGAGCGGAGGCCGATGATTGCAAGATGACGAGTATCCGAGTATCTGCCCAGAACCGACTAAGAGTACTGATACACGTCTGCCTGGAGTCCAGCTTTATCTTTATATCCAGATAACATGAAGAAAAGACCTTTCCTCCCCCCCCGCCCCGAATACTCAGCGACAGACAAATTCATCTTTTTAAATTGATTTTGAACTTTTAATTTTCTCTCTCAGAATAAAAGAAAGCTTGATGGGATTATCGTCCTGACCAGCAGCAGATCACAAATGCTCCAATATAGCAAGTTAAAGGGGCTTTTATTTACCCCGCCTGGCTGAAAGAAAGAAAAAACAAACAAATCCCGAAGCATTGAATGGCAGGCTTTTTTTTTTTTTCCTTTTATAACAATAATTAACGTAATAAAAACATACAAAAACCCTTATTTTATTATATACAGTAAATAGGGAGAGGTGAAAGCACCCCGATCTTTACGCTTTTTTTTTGCTGCCTCATGGCGTTACTTTTTTTTTGCTGAGTACAAGGGAGGTTTGTAGCAGCGTCTCGCAGTGATTTCCCCTCAAACCATCCGGCAGACCAGAATTTTTAAGAAGGTACCTTGAACCCAAAAAAAAAAAATCGGACATCCAGGGTGTAAGTGCATTCC